TCAGAAAGAAGTTCGTTTTCATGTATACACTATTTCGGTTTTTGTCATATGCATTACTTCGGTTTTGAGTCGAAACTGTGCATGTATGCTACGTTTTGTATATGCTTATTTCGGTTTTGAACCGAAACTGTGCATGTATGCATTACTTCGTTTTTCTCATATGCGTTATTTCGGTTTTCAAACGAAAGTGTGCATGTATGCATTATTTCGAGGTTTTTCATATGCATTATTTCGGTTTTCATTAACCGAAACTGTGCATATATGCATTATTTCGGTTTTTTTCATATGCATTATTTCGGTTTTCAAGCGAAAGAGTGCATATGCATAATTTCGGTTTTTCTAATATGCATTATTGCGGTTTTCAACTGAAACTGTGCATATATGCATTATTTCGGTTTTTTTCATATGCATTATTTCGGTTAAGTAGAATTCTCCTTTCTGTATTGCCGGAAAAGAAGGGCGGACGTATTTTTGCGCAGAACTTTTCTCTGCGTAAGCGGCCGAAGGGTTTTGAGTCGAAACTGTGCATGTATGCATTACTTCGGTTTTGAACCGAAACTGTGCATGTATGCATTACTTCGTTTTTCTCATATGCGTTATTTCGGTTTTCAAACGAAAGTGTGCATGTATGCATTATTTCGGGTTTTTCATATGCATTATTTCGGTTTTCAGTTGAAACCGAAATAATGTCTAAATGCACAGTTTCCATATGCGCAATTTCGGTGCCCCGGTCGGATAATCTTTTTCTTAAGCAAGTCATCTATAATTCGATTGACTTCAATTCTCGGCAAACGATAACCGCCTTGGTGAACAGAAGGTCCGAGTGTTTGACGTAAGTAAGATCTTAGCTTCGTAATCAATATTCGGAAGTTCTTCAATCTGTTTTCGTACATAAGTGTTTTTTATCATAAGACGGAAGTTGTTTGACCAAGCTAAAGGTAATTGAGGGTTTACGTCAATCTCATCATTTTCACTAATTTCAATATTAAAATCTTCTTTGAGGTCCGGAATTACACTGGCTTTTCTTAAGATTGGAGTGGCTTTACTGGACTTACGTTTACTGTCACTATCATCAACGGAAATAAGCGGAAATTCGTTTTCTAGTTTATATGTGGTCTGTTTATTTGAGTATAGCAATTCATTGTTGACATACAAACGTATGGAAAAAGTATTTAAGAAGTCTCTTCCTAACAATAGTGAAAAAGGCATTTCGTTATCGGTGAGTACGTAGACTCTTAACGGTTTAACATAGTTTTTAAATTTAATAAGAATACGCTCTCTTCCGGATTCACTTTAACTCTCCCGATCCCACTAAATACACGCACACTTCTACTGTATTTTGCTGTAACTGGGATGCACGACTGCCGAATGAAACTACAAGGACTCCCGGTATCAAGCAAAGTAAAAAAATGGACAAAATCGGGAAGACAATCACGGTTTCCACGGTTTGGTTGTTGTTGTTTCCGACAGGGTGGGTGTATGATGTATTATGGAACGAATTTCCGTCATCCCTTGTCAAATTTGGTTTGGTCTCCAAACCAAATTTGACAAGGGATGACGGAAATTCGTTCCATAATACATCACTTACCCTTTCCTTAAAGTGTACAGAACTAAAGTTGCCGTCGTCGTCCAATGCTGCTACAGTCTTGACGGGCAGTTCCTATACTGGTGCTCCTTTGCTCCACACTTAAAACAAGACAAGGGTGCTCGCCTTTTCTCTGCGCAGTCCTTGGAGTAGTGCCCATAGCGGAAACAGTTGTAGCATCTTACTGCTGACATGTCGCCAATGGAGTTTGGCGCGCTCACTTTCTTCTCGGTTGCTGCTCGGAGCCTTTCATACTGTGGTATCAGCTTTTTAAGTTTTTCGATTGTCGCCACTCCGCTAAAAATCAGTGCTTTGGCCGAGATGTCTTTTAGCCCGTCAATGATGAACTCCACCAGTTCGTATTCTTCGATTGGTGCTGACTGAGCAAGTTCTTGCTTGCTCAGAACGTAATACGTAAGAGTTTCTGATTTTTCCCAAACGCGCGTTTCCAATTGAAGGAAGATGTCTTTGACACTTAGCGGCCTTTTAAATTCGTCGATGAGTTGCTGTCTAAGTTTATTCCACCCGTCAATGATGCCTATGCGTAGGGTTGCCAGATTTTTTGGCGCGAAATCAGTACATTAGACTTTTTCATGCTATAAAAATCAGTACTTTTCAGTACACCTTTATTGCAAGCAGAATCATGAATTTAAGTAGCAGATAATACTTTGAAACGCCAGAGTAATTGTTTTTAATAATATCTTGGTATGGGTAAGGCTTCCTCAAGCGGGTCCCGAATTTACCAAGATTAATATTTTTCAACGATATTTAGGCAGCGTCTAGTTTTGTAGTCGAAAAGAACACAGTGTAAATTATGTTGTTCCAAATAGTTTTTTTTAATGAACAAGTGAAAATTTTTGCAGTGTTTTGGAAATTTTTATTTTTCTTTGAAAGGAAGTATTTATTTATTTATTTATTTCAAAAGTCAATAAACTACAAAGGTTCTTACTGACTAAAACGATACAGAGAACTAAAGTGCAGAAGGCACTAAAATAAAATTCAATTCAATAAACTATAAAATATATTCTTGGGCAAAGAAAAATCAAGCAAAATAGAATTCGAAATCTCGTTGAGTTCTCGAAGTGCACGCACTAACGGGGCGTTTCTTGCGTAATTCGTACTGAGGGCCTTGAGGTAAAAGGGAAGATTAAAACGAAGTGTTCTCGCAGGAATAAGAAATTGAATAGCAAGCAGTAATGCAGGGCAATCGATTTCACCACTTACCAAGCCACGCAAAAAAGACAAGGGACTTAAGGTTAATCAAAAGGAGGCGGGAATTGTACGGAGGGATGGGAGTGGAGAAATTGAGGGAAGAAAGGGCATATATAAGGAAAATTTTTTGAATACGGCAAATTTATGATGAGGTCTCCAGATGAGTGCTGCATATTCAAGCTTTGGACGAACCAAAGACGTGTAGAGTAATTTCAGAGTGTAGGGATCATTAAAATTACTACTATTTCGAAGAACAAATCCCAACGCAGCATATGATTTAGATATGATAAAATTGATGTGGTTATTGAATAAAAAAGACGCATCGAAAATTACACCAAGGTCTTTGATCTCAGAAACTGACTGAAGGGGAGTACCAGAGATACTGTATGACGTTTGCACATCGTTACGTAGTTTGGAAAACGTTACGTGATAACACTTGCTAATATTGAGATGTAGGTGAGACCGACAACACCATAAGTACAATCTATTTATATCTAATTGAACCCTAGAAGCATCTTCAGAACTCTTAATCGAAGAAAAAACTTTTAGGTCATCCG